TCCGCCGAGTTTCCGCCGGACCCGTCTCAGAGCGTTGGGCGATCGTTGGTTGGATGAGGGCTCCGAAGGGTTGCAGGAAATGGAATTCAAAATACCCGGGGCGGGGGGCGTGGCTTCTCGTCCTAAAGGAGGCGTATCCAGATTTCCCAGAGTGCACGCTAGGGACCTCTTATTTTAGACTGGGTTTTAGGCCGTGTCCTCCGGGGCTGCACAACCGAAGGAGCAAACCGTACGGTGATGGCACTCTGCGTCCACTCAGCTGTCAGATTTTCCTGCTTTCCGAATGCGCGTAGCCTGAAGCTCTGGCCTCCATTGTGTTTTGTCAAGAACAACAAAGATGTTTCCAACAGGTCCTTGGCAGGGAAGATACAGAGGGATGACAAAAGGCAACGAAGGAGCCGGCGCTAAAGCCGCCGCATGCTGGACCGACATCCCTTCTGGGCTCCAGTTCAAGTCCTGGCTGCTCCACTTCCGATCCAGCGCTCTGCTGTGGCCCGGGGAAAGCAGTGGAGGATGGCCCAAGCCCTGCGTCCCCGTGGGAGACCTGGAAGAACTGGTGGCCAGGCATTGTAGATTACCCTAAATGGGTCCTTCCCTCTTCCTGGAATTAGTGGTGGAATCAAGATCTCCCCATGGTGAGGACAATAGGGTCCTAACCCTGGCTGTTGCAACCATCTCCGGGGTGAACCAACAGATGGAGGATCTCTCAATCTTTCTCTCTCCCTACTCTCCTCCCTCTAATCCTGAATTTTAAAATAAATTAATTAAAAAATAATAAAGGGAGGCTAACAGGAGAGTCAAAGAGGATCTCGTCAGTCTTCTTGTGTCTATGCAGGAAGTACCTATTAAGTCAATACAAACTACCCAAAGGCACAATCAAATAAGAGATACCTTAAGGAATTAAAAAAAAGTTGGAGAGCCAGTGCTGTGGCACAACAGGTAAAGCCGCTGCCTGCAGTGCTGGAATCTCGTATGGGCGCCAGTTGCACATGTGGCCTGGGAAACATAAAATTCCAACTTTTTTTTAAGGTTTTTTTTTTTTTTTTAAAGAATCACTTTACTTGAAAGTCAAAGTTACACACAGAGAGAAGGAGAGGCGGGGGTGGGGGGGGAGAGAAAGTAGCTTTTAAAAATTTTTGAGGGCCAGTACCCTGCACAGTAGGTTAATCTGCCTGCAGCACCAGCATCCCAAATGAGTGCCAGTTCTAGTCCCAGCTGCTCCTCTTCTGAGCCAGCTCTCTGCTAAGGCCTGGGAAGGCAGTGGAAGATGGTCCAAGTGCTTGGGCTCCTGCACCCACTTGGGAGACCCAGAAGAAGCTCCTGGTTCGTGGCTTCAGATTGGCTCAGCTCCAGCCATTGCAGCCATCTGGGGAGTGAACCAGCAGATGGAAGACCTGTCTTTCCCTTTCTCTGTCTGTAGCTCTGTCTTCCAAAAAAATAAATAAAATCTTTACGTGTGTGTGTGTGTGTGTGTAAAGAACAAGAGACACAGAGATCTTTCATCCTTTGACTCATTTCCCATATGGCTGCCAACAGCCAGGTCTGGGCCAAGCAGAAGCCAGGAGCCAGAACTCTATCCTGGTATCACACATGGGTGGCAAAGGACCAAGAACTTGGGCCACCTTTCCTTGCCTTCCCAGGTGCATCAGCAGGAAGCTGGATCATAAGCAGAGCAGTTGGGACACAACTGGCACTCCAATATGTGACACGGGTGTCACAAGCAGCAGTCAAACCTGCTGTGAAGTGCTGGCCACAGAAAAATACTGAGACAGTGGATATGCTCATCATCACAACTTTCACAACTGATGCCTTAATTTTGAAACCAGGGTGATGTTTTCCATGTATATAAACATCAAAATATACGTATTTCATATGAGTACAGTGTTGATTGTATATCAGATATATTAGGTAAAAAGATTCTGCATAAAATGTGGATGTCCTATTCTTTTACATTGTGACATATAACAAAACTGTGTGTGTAGGTTAAGCCTCCTCCTGTGGCACTGGCATCCCACATGGTTGCCAGTTTGTGTCCTGGTTGATTCAGCTGTCTGCTTATGGCCTGGGAAAGCAGTATAAGGTGGCCCAAGTGCTTGGGCTCCTGCACCCATGTGGGAGATCCAGAAGAAGCTCCTGGCTCCTGGCTTCCTATCTGCCCACCTCCTAATGGCCATTGCAGCCATTTGGAGAGTGAACTAGCAAATGGAAGAAGACCTCTCTGTCTCTCCCTCTCTGTGTAACTCTACCTCTCAAATAAAAGATGACCATCCTCTCCCAATGTCTTAGGTCAGCTCTGAACCTGTAGTAACAAAAACTGGAGCCGATGAAGATGATCATGTCACGATTCATGAGGAATTATGGACAGGCCAGAAAAGACTCACTCCTATAGGACCCTCCTTCAGTCATGAAGTCCCTGCCAGTGCCACAGTAGTTTCAACAGCCTTGAAAAATATAAAAATACACCAAACCTAGTTTTTAGTGGCTCTGGTATCAACCTTGGCCACAGGAGACACACAGACCTGGAGGACTTGAGTACCTCTATACACACTTGTAAAACACAGCCCTAAGTACGATGACATTTTTGGATACCCTTTTACAAAAGTGTTTACTCATTCCACTCTAGTTTGGACTGGTTCCATCAACCCAACCACTGTTCCTGTATGTAACATGGTTCTCAAACTGCTGCTGTACATCTTGCAGCCAGGGACACACACCTACCTGATTTTTCACTTCAGGGCCTAGCAGATCATGAGACAGCCATCCCTATGCAATGCCAAAGAATATGGGACATCCATATTTACAAAGAACCCAACTCATGCTATTGCCATATGGCCTGGGACCATCAAACTGTCCCAGCCTCAAGCTGACGTGGAACTACAAACCTCCTTAGAATACAAGGCAAAAAGTTTGGGGCAGAAGTTCTTCATTTTCACAGGATAATTCTGAAGCAATAAATTGTGCCTAATGTGAATTGAGAGCTGTTCTTTGTCCTCCTGGTATTTCCTCTGGATCACACATAGGTGAGGGACTCAGAAAACCATCTTGAGGATTCCCAAGAGTAAATATACAGCTTAAACAATATGCCCCTTATCATCACAAAAACTTAACACAGGTGGTTACTGGGTTGGCTAGGTGACATGGAGAATGAAGAATTCATCGCAACCATCAAAAACCAACCCATAATACCCTTGAAAAATGAAAGTCTCTATAAGCCACCTGCAAAAGTAAGCTTGCAGCTTCTAACCATATCTGGTTGATGTCCACAACCAAACCAGATTAATGGAGTAGAAAAAACAGCTCAGAAAGAATCATATTTATGCTGACAAGAGTGGCAAAACCATTCATTTTCTAAAAGTGTCTTGAACAGATGGTGTTCAAAAAACTGGATATTGAATGAAGCTGAATCTTACCTTATACCATGTAAAAAAATGAACCCAACTAGATAAAATTATATGACCTAAAGCAATAAACCTCTTAGAAGAAAATAGAAAAAGGCTTCTTATCATTGGATTTACCAGTAATTTTTTGGACATGAATCCAAAACATAAGAAACATAAAATAAGTATGCGGGGTATGCATTTTAAAAATCTTGTTCCTAAAAGGGCATAATGATCACAGAAAAAAGAAAATATCTGAAAACCACATATCCAATAAAGGATTCATAGTCTTTAAGGCTTAAAGAACTCCTCCATCTCAACAACAAAAATCCTTTACAAATTACCCAGTTAAAAATAAATACTTTTCTACAAAGCACATACATAATTAGCCAAAAAAAAAAAAAAAAGATGAAAAGATGTTCACCACCACTGTTAGGGAAAAGCAAATCAAAATCACAATGAGGTAACACCTCACATTCAAATAGCTACCATACATAATAATTTACTTAAGAGAATGAGAAAATAAAAGGTGAAGAGGATGATATGCAAAGTTGGAACCATTGCACTGTTGGTAGAAATGTAAAATAGTGCAGCTGCTTGGGGAATAGCACTTCAAAGAATTTAAAATGTAATTAACATATAATGTAGCAATTCCACTTCAGGGTACATACCTAAAAGTACTTCAACCAGGGTCTCCATGAGATATTTGTATATTAGTGCTAATAGTGGCATTATTTACAAAGGAAGAAAATGGAAACAACCCAAATGCCCTTTGATGGATGAGTGGGTACTTAAAAATAGTACATACGTAGAATGGAACCACTCAGTCTCAAAAGGACTGGAACTTCTGACCCATTCTACTACTGAAATGAACTTTGAAGACATTATGTGAAGGAAAATATGATACAAAGTAAGTCACAAAAAGACTAACACTTAATTTTTCTTACATAAGGCACCTGGTGTAGTAAAATACGCAAACAGGAGATAGGAGCTCAGTGCAGTAAGGAAAAAGGAATGTTTTCAGGGATGAAGATGTCTATATTTTCATTATGCATTATTAATGACAACAACACTACTGAACTGTACAATATGGTTAAGATGGTGATTTTGTCGCCTATATCATACAATTAAATTTCAAAATAGATACCAGAGCTAAATCAGAGATTTCTACCTATGTCTTCCTACATTCACTTTACCCAGAAGTTCTTTCTCTGGTGTGAACTTTTTGGTGTTGAGTAAGGTGGGAGTTTTGGTTAAAAACTCTCCCACAGGCTGGCGCTGTGGCTCACTAGGCTAATCCTCCGCCTTGCGGCACCGGCACACTGGGTTCTAGTCCCAGTCAGGGTGCTGGATTCTGTCCCGGTTGCCCCTCTTTCAGGCCAGCTCTCTGCTGTGGCCCGGGAGTGCAGTGGAGGATGGCCCAAGTGCTTGGGCCCTGCACCCCATGGGAGACCAGGATAAGTACCTGGCTCCTGCCATAGGATCAGCGTGGTGCGCCGGCCACAGTGGCCATTGGAGGGTGAACCAACGGCAAAAGAAGACCTTTCTCTTTGTCTCTCTCTCTCACTGTCCACTCTGCCTGTAAAAAAAAAAAAAAAAAAAAAAAAAAAAAACTCTCCCACATCCACTACACTCATAAGGCCTTTCTCCAGTGTGAATTCTCCAATGTTTAATGAGGCTAGAGTTGTACTTTTCCACATTCATGGCACTCATAAGGTTTTTCTCCAGTGTGAACTCTAATGACTACTGAGTATGGAGCTGTCCATAAAGAGTTTCCCACATTTCCTGCACTCAAAAGTTCATTCTCTGGTGTGAACTTTTTGATGTCAAATGAGGTGGGAATTTTGGCTAAAAACTCTCTCACACTTGCTGCATTCATAAGGCCTTTCTCCAATGTGATTTCTCCGATGCCTAATTTGATTCAAGTTGTGTCTAAAGAATTTTCCACATTCACTATACTCATAAGGCCTTTCTCCAGTGTGAACTCTCTGATGTGTATCAAATGTGGAGCGATACCTGAAGAATTTCGCACACTTGCTGCATTCATAAGGCCTTTATCCAGTGTGAACTCTCTGATGACTACTGAGTGTACAGCTGTCCATAAACAGTTTCCCACATTCGCTGCACTCATAAGGCCTTTCTCCAGAGTGAAGCCTCTGATATCTGTTCAGTGTGAAACAATACCTGAAGAATTTCCCACACTTGCTGCATTCATAAGGCTTTTCTCCAGTGTGAACTCTCTGATGAATGAGTATAGAGCTGTCCATAAAAAATTTCCCACATTCACTGCACTCATAAGGCCTTTCTCCAGTGTGAACATTCTGATGCCTAATGAGTGTGGAGCGGTATTTCAAGAATTTCCCACACTCACTGCATTCATAAAGTCTTTCTCCAGTGTGAACTCTCTGATGAATAAGAAGTGCGGAGCTGTCTGTGAAGAATTTCCCACATTCACTGCAACAATAAGGTTTATCGCCATTATGAACCTTTTGATGTCTGATGAGCGTAGAACATAAAGGACTTCCCACACTCAGTGCATCCATACGGCCGTTCTCCAGTATGGATTTTCCAATGACCAACAAGATGTGACTGTGTAAGGAAAGCCTTCCCACACTGGCTGCATCTGTAAGGCCTTGGCCTAGTGTGCAGTAGTTGGTGTTCAACAGCATCAGACGTTTGTGCAAAGAACCCCTCAGTGTGGATTTTCTGGTGCTGAACCAGGTGGGACTTTCTAACGAACACCTTCCTGCATTCAGTGCACTCGTAGGGCCGTTCTCCAGTGTGAATTTTCTGGTGTTCCAGCACACTGTATTTGAGGCTGAAGGCTTTCCCACACTCGGTACACTTGTAAGGCTTTTGACCAGTATGATTTCGCTGATGTTTAATGAGGTTGGAGTTGTACCTAAACAATTTCCCACACTGACTGCACTCATATGACCTTTCCCCAACGTGGGTTTTTTGGTGCTCAATAAACAGATGTTGATTGCAAAATTCTTCCCTGCATTCTCTGCAGTTGTGATGAGTTTTTCCACTTTGAAAGACCTCCCTGCCCTGCGTGTCCCTGTGCAGTTTCCACTCGCTGCAAGGGACTCGAACCAGCGCCCATATGGGATGGCGGCACTGCAGGCACGGCTTAATCCACTATGCCACAGTGCTGGCCCCAATTACATTCACTTCCAACTGCCTAGCTACATGTTCATATTTGGAAAGATTTAAGTTAATACGTATTTAAATCGATGTGTTTTATATATGAGTTGGGGGGGGGGGTGCCGAGCAGGCAGGGCAGCTACTGGTTTCCAGCACGGCCTGCCAGCTCGGTAACGGTCTTTAGAGTGGCTGCTGGGACCCCATGACTGGAAGGGAGGACATCAGAAAGCCTGGGTGTGGAATGGTTCATCCACCAGTCCAGCTGACCGTCCCCTTATCCCTCAGAAAGAGGCCCTGGGGTCTGCTGAGTACCCAGGATGGAGCCTGCACCACCTCACAACTGTCTGCACCCCAGGCCACCTCCTCCCGGCAGCCCGGACGCCCTCTGCAGACACATAGACCAGAACTCTCGTCCCCTGTCCCTTCAGGAGGGAGCATCAAGGGTCCCCACCAGCAGCCCGCCACACGCTCTCCCCCTTCACCCCGACCACCAGGCCCAGGCCCAGGCCCAGGCCCAGGCCCAGGCCCGGCCCAGCCCATGCGTCTAATCCTGAGGGCTTCAGACCAGTGACCTTCCCTGACCTCTGGAATCCACATCCACCACGCGTCACGTCTCCATCTCGTGGCATGCTCACCACCACATCGAAAATCCAACCCACGAGCTCCCGTGAGCGGGCTCCCACGCGGACTCCTCACCCCCACTCCTCCAGGTTTTCAGGCCAGACCGTCCCTGCCCACTCGCGGCAGATCTACCCAACACATCACCACGCTCCGCCTCCGCCGTCCTCGGTTCCCGTGGGTCTCTGCAGTGGCCCCTTCTGGGTCTCCCTGCCTTCAGCTAACGCGCCGCTCCTCTCCACTTCCAACAGCTGCGGGCTAGCAGCTCCCTCCCCAGCGCCCCAGGCCAGACCCCACCTCACCCTCCCGCAGCATGGACACCCGTGCTTCCCCAAGGCCGCCGGCCCAGGGCGGGAGCCCCCCGCCTCTCGTCGCGAAGGCTGGAAGGGGACCGCCCCAGGTCCCGACGCTGCTCTCCCCGGCCAGCAACGAACCCGGCAGGCTCCGCTCCGTCCAGGCTTGGTGCTGAGACGCGGAGGGCCCGCGGACACAGCACCCACCTGAGTGGACTTCATGGGGGCGGCCTCCGCCAACCGCGCCAGGGAGGGCGGTGCGGGGGCGACGGGTGACCGGGACAGAGCTGAGGGCACCGGCCCCAACCCTGCTCGGCGGAACCTCACGCGGGTCCCCGCGCAGCGGAGTCCAGGCCTGGCCTCCCGCCTTACCGCTCCGCGACCCCTCGGTCAGTGCACCGAAAATCAGAGCGCCGCCACGGGGGCGTCGCCGGAGGTCCCGCCCACACGCGCCGTGCGGGCACGTGTGGGTAAAGACCCGCTAGGCCTTCGGGGAATCCGCTCGCCTCGGCAGAGGCTTCTGGGTAGCGTGGTTCCCACGGCACCGAAGCCTGGGAGTGGCTTTGGGAAATGGAATTCTGGGATCCCAGTGATTGGGAGAGGGTTTACTGGCTCTTAAAAGGAAAATAATCAGGTTTTTCCCTGAGTGCAGTCTAGAACAACTCTGTGAAAGCCTTCCTGGGAACTACTGCAAGTCTCCAAGTGATACACATCCCAAGGGACAGGTGGGCGCTCACTTCCAGCTGCCAGCTGTTCTGTTGCTTGTCAAGTTCGCCTAGATTGAAGCTTTTAGAGACTGCTTCAGTATATCGCACCAGAGACAAGAAGAAAAAGACCCCACACAGAGCATTACGGGGGCAGGGGTAGTGATTTTTCTTGCGCAAATGATCAGTCATTGTGCTCCAACCTGGTGAAAACATTTTTGTAAACATATGACTTTATATCCGAAATATTTGTCATGGATTTTTAAAAAGATACAACCTATGTGCTGGGGCTGACGCCGTGGCTCACTAGGCTAATCCTCCACCTGCGGTGCCAGCACTCCAGGTTCTAGTCCCAGTTGGGGCACCGGATTCTGTCCCGGTTGCTCCTCTTCCACTCCAGCTCTCTGCTATGGCCTGGGAAAGCAGAAGATGCCCCAAGTCCTTGGGCCCCTGCACCCACGTGGGAGACCTGGAAGAAGCTCCTGGCTCCTGGCTTCAGATCCGCGCAGCTCCAGCCGTTGCAGCCATCTGGGAGTGAACCAGCAGATGGAAGACCTCTCAGTCTCTACCTCTCTCTGTAACTCTTTCAAATAAATAAAATAAATCTTTATTAAATGTCGTTCCCCCTCTTCGTGGAGGAGCAACACTGAACGCTGCCTAGGCTTCCTATCCGAGTCACGGCACCATTATGTCGCTCCCCCTCTTCGTGGAGGAACGACACAAGACCCTGCGCTGTTCTTTCGTCTGCTCGGCTCTCCCCGGGTTTGCTGCTGGTTCTTCCCGGGTTGGCTACCGTCCCTTCCACCTCCGTGGAAGGGCAGTTCCCCCTAGCCACATTCCCCACTTCCGCAGGGGAGCGGCACACCGCCGGCCGGCTCTCTCGGGGGCTGCACAGGTGTTCCCCTTAGATGTTCCTCTTAGATGTTCCTCGTGCATGCCGTCTCTCTCCTCCTTTATAGTCCTCCTCTGCCAATCCCAACTCGGCTGCCCACACGCCGAGTACGCTGCTCTCCTCCAATCAGGAGCAAGTCCTACAGTTTATTGGTTGAACTGGAGGCAGCTGCGTAGAAGCTGTTTTCTCCTCTCCCAGCGCCATATTGTGGGAGAGCAGATGCACAGAATAAGTCTTAATTCCAGTAACTCAGTCCAGTCCGGGCTGCTCCCCACAGATCCCCCTTTCTTTTTATTTTTTGGCGTTGATATGCGCCTGTCTTCGGTGTCCCGCGGCACACACTCTGCTCTACTTGCTAGAGTTGCCACAGGTTCTTACAAGTCCTATCAATCAGGAAAACCGAATCCGGGTCCTCTCTTCGCCATGTTGTGAGGAGGTTTTTAGGCGCTGATGCGTGCCTGTGTTCGGTGCCCCGCAGCGCATGCTCTGCTCTGCCTGCAGGGGCTTACAAGCCCTAACAATCAGGCAAACCGAATCCAAGCCTTCTCATTGCCGTATTGTGGGGGAGACTTATTAGTGTTGGTTCGTGCCTATCTTCGGTGACCTGCGGCGCATAAGCTGCTAGCCGCCGCAGGTGCTCATCGCCTCACTAATCGGGCAGACCGAATCCAAGCCTTCTAATTGTTGTATTGTGGGGAGGCCTTATTGATGTTAATTCGTGCCTGTCTTCGGTGACCTGCGGCGCATAAGCTGCTAGCCGCCCGCAGGTGCTCACCGCCTCCCTAATCAGGCAGACCAAATCCAAGCTTTCTCATTGCCATGTTGAGGGGAGGCCTTTCTATTTCTCTATTTCTCTATCTCTGGGCATTCCTATTTCTCCCATTTTACTTCTATCTTCCAGCATTCCTATTTCTCTCATTTTACTTCTAAACTTCTGTTTCTCTTATCCCCGCGGCTTCCCGGCGCCCGCCCGGTGGCAGCTTCACGGCTCCGCGCGGCTTCCCGGCGCCTCGCCCCGCCGGCGGGCTCCCGGCTCTGCGCGGCTCGGCTTTGCGCGCACACTCCGCGGTCTCTCACTAGCCCTTTCACGTCTGAACCACGGCCTCGCGCCAGCCCCGCGTTCCCTATCTATTCACGCCCCATGCTCTCTCTGCACGCGGCGGCTTCCGCGAGTCACACAGCGTAGCTTGCGTCTCCGACACTAGCATTCAATCAAAGTTCCCCGGGCTAGCCTGGCGAATTCAACCCAGCTTACGTCTCCGCCCCACGGTTTGGCTTCCCGTCCTTTGCTCCCCGGGCTAATCAGACGGATCCCAACCAGGCTTACGTTTCCGCTTCTGGTTTTAACTTTTCGCCCCCTATTCCCGGGCTAACTTGAGAATCCCAAAGTGGCTTTCGTCTCCGCCTTGGCCTGCCCCCCGCGGCTTCAATTTCCCTAACATTTTTCTCTACCCGGTATGTTTCCCTAAGTTTTCTTCCAACAATACTCCTCCCTCATTTCTCCTGGCCTCTCCCCACAGTCCGCATCCGAGTCTGTTTGTTCTAGCTTTCACTTTCGCTTTCGACCTTAGAGATTTCTCCCAGCTTCCCCCCGTAGTCCGTATCTGAGTCTATGCCTAGGCTTTCAATAGCTTCTTCCGGCACCTTTTTCGTCCGGCTTTTCCCTAGGCTGTTTGCTAGTCTCTCTCTCCGGCATTTTCCACTTCTTCCCTCCTAAGTTTCCTATCCGTCCTGGGTTTCCTATCCGTCCTGGGTTTCCTATCCGAGTCACGGCACCATTATGTCGCTCCCCCTCTTCGTGGAGGAACGACACAGGACCCTGCGCTGTTCTTTCGTCTGCTCAGCCCTCCCCGGGTTTGCTGCTGGTTCTTCCCGGGTTGGCTACTATCCCTTCCACCTCCGTGGAAGGGCGGTTCCCCCTGGCCACATTCCCCACTTCCGCAGGGGAGCGGCACACCGCCGGCCGGCTTTCTCGGGGGCTGCACAGGTGTTCCCCTTAGATGTTCCTCGTGCATGCCGTCTCTCTCCTCCTTTATAGTCCTGCTCCGCCAATCCTAACTCGGCTGCCCACACGCCGAGTACGCTGCTCTCCACCAATCAGGAGCAAGTCCTACAGTTTATTGGTTGAACTGGAGGCAGCTGCGTAGAAGCTGTTTTCTCCTCTCCCAGCGCCATATTGTGGGAGAGCAGGTGCATAGAATAAGTCTTAATTCCAGTAACTTAGTCTAGTCCGGATTGCTCCCCACAATTAAAAAAAAAAAAAAAAGAAACTAGATACTGTCCCACGTGGATGCCGGTTCGAGATCTGGCTGCTCCACTTCCCATCCAGCTCTCTGCTATGGCCAGGGAAATAGTGGAAGATGGCCCAAATCCTTGAGCCCCTGCACACAGGTGAGAGACCAGGAAGAATCTCCTGGCTCTTGGCTTTGGATCGGCGCAGCTCCGGCTGTTGTGGCCAATTGGGGAGTGAACCATCAGATGGAAGACCTCTCTTTCTCTCTCTCTGCCTCTCCTCTCTCTGTGTAACTCTTTTGAATAAATAAACAAATCTTTTTTAAAATATACTTAACAAAATAATCCACAGAAGCATAACAGTAGGGTTCCTTTTATTCTATTCTGGAAAATGGGAACTAACCTGTAGAGTTACTAATCAATGGCTACCTAAGGTTGGGAAAGTGAGCAAGGCTGAGAGACAGAAAATACAAAATAGTCAAATAAAACTATCTGGAGCAACAGCTAAGTTTATTATTAGGACGTTTTAGGAAAGTTCTCATGGGACATACATACATGAAAACATATATTACACTTTTAATGGATGTAGTTCAATATATGTCAAGTATCCCTCAATAAATTTGTTAAGGATTCCACAAAACATGCGGATGTCCCCTTCCCCTAGAAAAATAAGAGATGGCAAAAAGTGCATTGACTCCC